GTGTGTGTGTGTGTGTAAGAGTGTGTGTGTAAGAGTGTGTGTGAGAGAGAGTGTGTGTAAGTGTAAGAGTGTGTGTGTGTGCACGCGCCAGAGTTGTAAAGTATTTGAGTGAATGTAACTAATTACTGTACTTGAGTATCCTTTCGGATACGTTTTATTTTTACTGAGTATCAAAGATATTAGCAACCTTTACTCTCTACTTCACTACATTTTTGAATGAGTATCTGTTAGGGGTGGGGTGAAAATGTGATTCTTAGATGCATCGCGATGCAGACGTGGAGGATTCTGAATCGATTCACAAATGTCAAAAATCTATTTTCTATTTCTGAAATCAGACCGGCACCGTCTGCGTTAAAAGCTAGCGTATGGAAGCACTTTGGCTTCTATGAAGTTGAAGGGGGAGCCACACTATATGCAAGTTGTGTCAAGCCAGACTAAAATATTTTGGAAATGCAACAAATATGAGAAACCATATTACAGAATATGCTTAAGTCTGTGTTAATTTACTACAAGTATGCTGCTACAGGCACATGTTTTATTTCCTGTTGGTTCTTTGTAACCTTCTTCTTGACTTGCCAAATCTCTGACATTTGTTTTATTAATAAAAGATCTTGGAAGTAAATTCATTGTGTCATTCCAGATACTTAGCTTCAAAAGTCAGACAGGGAGAAAAAAGAAAATCTGTATTAAAACGAGGGCTGGGTATCGAGTTCGATACTTTTTAGGCACCGACCGAATTGCCTCGATACCATCGAGTATCGAAAAACGTCGTCGTTCGGTACCAAATTTCGATACCTAAGGGGTTAATCTCATCAGCGTCAGTAAGCCAATAAGCCTGCAGCACTAGCCGGTGTGTTCGACTAGAGGCGCGGCGCAGATCGATCATCTGCGAGAGCAATTCGAAAGCGCACGGAGCAGTCTGCTCTCTTTAGCTCTCGTGGTACTGTAATACCAGCAGTATAGAGTAGCGCGGGAGCTGCGTGGAGTTCCCATCATATGCAGATGTCCGTTCATACTAACCTTACACGACCATTCATGCAAACTGTAGTATCATGCTACATAAGACAATAAATCAGATTTATGTTCCGCTTTTACTCAAAACTCACTTTAAACCACCATTAAGTGTTTGTAATAACTTCCGATTGCCGTCTAACAGGGCCGGATTTACGCATTGCTCAAGACATTGAGCAAATAAATATAACAAACAATAGGGTAAAAAATGACAAACTATTTCCATGTCTTCCACCTTTTTTATGTAGGCTACAGAAATCATGCTTTCTTTCTCCCAGTCTCTCTCACAGACGCACACACAGTGCAGACACCGATTAAGAAATATTTTTGTTTGCTTGGGTGGTAATATTAGGTCTATTATATTAATAGGGAAGGGGGCCCAAAAATATGTGTGTGTGTCTGTTTGTTCTGGTTTTTCCATGAAATACCTGCACATAGATCCGGTTTTCTCCAGCTTCTCCACAACGTTACAGTTTTTCGCTGCCACGTCTCTTTGACTAGTGCATCTTTGAGCCTCTAAGTAAAATACTTATATATTGTTCAAATCAGACACTTTAAGACTTTTACTCCAGCTGTTTTGGAGTTGGTTACTTGTAACATGTCATGGAGTAATTTTCACTGCAAGCTATCTGTACTTTTACTCAAGTGGGGTTTTCAGGTATCTTTACACCTCTGGTGTGTGCCTTAAAGGGGTCATAAAATGCATTTTTAAATGATTTTATAATGTTTCCTGAAGTGCACTTATAATCTTAGTGTTTTTTTCACCAAAAACAGTCATAATTTAAATGTAAATGCTAATTTTCTTCCCTGATTTTAGCCTCTTTGTCGGAAGGGGCGTGTCCGCTGTGAGACCACACCCACTGCTGTGATTGGCTAACTTATTTGCATATGAAATGAGCATTACATGTGGACCTCTCTTAGATGATCACTATGATCTCCTTATTGCAATGCCATTTCTGCAATCTCACCAATGCTTTCGTCAGAGTTCTGGTGATGGGGAAAAAATATGAGCTGGATGGAAAAGGAACACAGTAGTTTTGCAAGCAAACACAAAGTTTCTTTGGGGAAATGCAAACGTTTTAATGCTTTTGTGTTCACGGCGCAGATGAGTTTATCGGGGAACAGATGTTTTTAAGCCATCACGGAAGCATTGAAATATATTTTTTATCCATCATCATGTCCCCTTAGGAGCTGTACTTTACAGCTACAAATATGAATGACACAATTTAGTTTGAGATGTATTCTAGCTGTTGTAGCGGTGTTTCACCTCAGTGACCTTTGACCTCTCTGTCTCTCTGCAGGCCAGTCTAGACGAGCAGCAAACATCATCGAGCACGTTTGTCCGAGCGCTGATGACCACCGTCTGTCAGTGTGCCATCATCTGTGAGTCCTTTAATACAACAGGATTTGATTGTGTGTTAACTGAAATAAAAATATATATAATTTTATTTGAGCTAGCTGCCAAGGCAACATTTCTTGTTTTTATTTAGTTTAACTTGATGTACTAAAATAACTTAATTTATTAGGGCCCGAGCACCGATCATCATCTTTTCCAAAGTGAATCGCATTTTTGAGGGCCTAAACATGCTCAAAACTTTGCACACGTGTCAGAACTAGTGAAAATTTACATCTGATATGGGTTTCAGAAGTGGGTGTGGCAAAACGGCTCGATAGCGCCACCTGTAAAATTTCAACGGAGTGTGCCTCGAGCTACGTTTCACGTACATGTACGAAACTCGGTAGACACGTGTAACACACCATCACCTACAAAAAAGTCTCTTGGTACAAAATCCGAAACCCAACAGGAAGTCCGTTATTTTGAATTTCCTGTACGATTTTTGTGGGGTTTTTTGCCGTTTCCAGGCCTCGTACTTCGACGAACTCCTCCTACAATTTTAATCAGATCATCTTCAAATTTGGTGAGGGTTATCTTAAGGCCTTTGCGATGCTACATTGCGAAGATCTTGAGTTTTCGTCAAGGGGCGTGTCCCTGGCGGCCTGACAAAGTTTGATGTTACGCCATGAAACAGGAAGTTGTTGTAACCCATGCATACAATGTCCAATCTTCCTCAAACTTCACATGTTGTATAAGAGTCCTGGCCTGAACACATCTGAAGGTCAATATTCAGTTATAATTATAGCGCCACCTGCTGGCAGCAGGAAGTTTGGCACATATAAAGGACTTGGACATATTCCTCCTATATTTACCACTTTCCTAAAGCTACCAGGTGCGAGGGCCCTTTCATCGCTGCTTGCAGCTTTGATTTTATATTAAACTTATTGATTTAAAAAATAAAAAAATAAAAGCTTTAAAACAAAAAAGACATAAAAATAAAAGTGACAAACACACACAACAAAATTACTAAAACTTTACCTAAAATAAAAATAAAATCGTAATATAACGATAAAAACTGTTGGGGGGGAAAAGTCAATAATTAATGTTAATAGTTATTTATGATTAATGTTTATGAATATTATAAGGAATAATTATTGTAAATGAAATTAATAATAATAAAATAACTGAGGTTTTTGAGGCAACTGTAGGGAGTTTGTAAATTGAGAAATCAATAATTAATGTAATATTCATATACATTAAATATATATAAATATAATAATTGTAAATTTAATAAATAGTAATAAAATAATGGGTTCTTGGGGGAACTGCAGGAAGGTTGTAAGTTGTTGACAAGTTAATAAATGTAATAATTTTAGTTAAAGTGTATAGTTAACGTACCAAATGAATAAATGTATATGTAAATCAAATAAATAATTTTAAAATAATTGGATTCTTTAGTGAACTGCAGGGGGTTTGTAAGTTGTTTGAAAGGAAATAATTAATGTAATTATTTGTAATAATGAATACAACTAAATTTAAAAAGCAAAATACTTTTATAAATAAAATAAAAATAAAACCCTTAATAAAAAAAGATTAAATATTTGTTTAGCTGCATGTTGAGTGACCACTGATATTAGAGAACCATGAACATGTAAATGTGTTAAATCATTCAAATGTTGAGTTAAAATTTCAGGCAGACTTCAAGGAAATATTTTAGGCCAGAAGCGATTCGACTGACAAAAATGTTTCTGAATCCCTGCATCAGCAGAACAGAGATGTTTGTGTTATTTTTCTTTATAATAATGTCAAAAGGTAAAAGTCACGTTGGCTTTAATGTTGTTTTCATCCTGTCGTTATCAAGGTGAGAATCCATATAAAGTAGACACTAAAGAAATTACCCAGAGGGCCAAGCTGCTGCAGCGCTACATTAAAGACGAGCAGAAGGAGCTGCAGGCGCTCTACGCTTTACAGAGTCTGATGATGCAGATGGAGCAGCCACCAAGTGAGTGTGTGTGTGTGTGTGTG